ATTCCCAATCCAGCAGAGATCCAACATTTGCTAGGACATTTTTCAACTTGTCTTTRTCAAATGACAAAATAAAGATTGTCTGTTAGCCCTGAGATTTAATTGTTAAAACACTGATCAGCTACACAAAACCTGAAAGTCATTGCTCAAAGTAAAAACACAGCTAAAACAGACAAYGTTTTAACATGGAGATCTGCTTTTAATGTGGACATGAAGGCTGATGCCCAAAAGGATGATGGACTCATTACTGATCTATTAGTGGGCATATCAGATAGCATTAGGGAGCATATGAAGCRTATTAGTGTTGGGGACAAGTAAAGAGAGGAGAGAGAACTCACATTATTGATGAATCTTGTTGATTAGGGTGAGGCTGCTGCTGGCAAGGAAGAGTGCAGTCTGCATGCTCAGGCATTGTGTAGGAGACAGGCAGGCTTATTATGATTATTAAGGTATCATTAATTTAGGATTGGGTTAATGGTCAGGGTTCAAGAAAACAGAGGTTGTAAATATAAATTCATTGCTGAATCCTGACAACCTTTAACTCTTCATTTTAGGGGTGATTTTCCATCCAAGAACTGTCAGTGRTTAATGTGCAGGCCAAAGGTGTGACAGGACTATGGAAAAAGCACCTGACATTTATGGAGACATAGTGCAGGGGGGAAGAAGACAAAAACCTGAATTCACTGATAGGTCCTACACAATTCAGAGAGACAGTCAGGATTGGTACAAGAAAGCTTCTTAGTTTAGTATTAACTCTGAAGTTTGAGATGATAGTAATCCGTCCAAAAGCCTATTTTAAGGCTAGCATCACAGTTAGGTCTTCTGTGAAGAAGAGGATGGACAGCCAAACTTAGTGTTGAATCCTGCCAGTTTAAGGATGGATGAGTGAGGTACAGTTTGATGCGTGGAGAGATGAATAATCTCTGGATAGCTTTGACTTAGGATACAGTGAGCGACGTTACCTRACAGGGAAGGCCGTGTTTGGCAAGCAGTGACTGTAGAGTTACCTCTGCTGCTTGATCCTGCCAGGCTTCTAGTTAGAGTTTCAGGACTAAGACTCATAATAATAAATAATGGAAAATATATAATTCATCTTGGTTCCACATTGATTCCTGAAGAGAGTAAGGAAGAAGAGCAAACTTTGGTGTCAGAGAAGTCAGTCATCCTGGTATGAGATCTGGAGTAGGGATTAGTATTATTAGTATTATTAGTATATAGATCAGTATTATTAGTACTGCATTAGGAAAGCAGTTCATTAAGAAACCCCTATCACCAATACTAAATTTAGATTATGGTCCTGGAAARAGCACAGAACAGTAAGTCAATAGGTGGATCCCATGGGAATAGAGTATGGGCTGATATCAGTAGGTATCTGTATGTTTATCTCTAATCTTAATTTTTAGGAGACTGGAGTTGATGTTTTATTGTTACACTTATTGGCTAAGGTTGTGTTTAAATTTAGGGTAAAAACGATGAATCTGGAATCCAAGTTTCTTGCAGGATCCTAACAGGTCATGGCTAACTGATGTAACTAACTCATTATTAACATCACGGCAGAAAAAAGTTGATGGGGTTTGATACTGTGACAATAAGACTAAGTTTGGGGCTAGGGATTTGTGCAACAAGCTGTCAGGTTTCCTCCCCAACTTTTCTGTTTGGTTAGCTATTCTGCAAGCTTTTCATCATAGTATTGGATTCCTTTAACATACCTGACAATTTATGCACAGAAAAAGATATGGATACAAAATTTAAAGAGAGCAACAGTCACCCATAATATTAGTGAAAAAGTAAACCCTTTAGTTTTTTTTCTCTATCACCTTTTGTATCTGTATATGACAATAAGGAGTAGCACATGAAGCATGCCAATAGGACACTGCATCAGCGTCCACTGCTCACCCCTTTTGCTTTCCCTGTTTTGCAGATGAGTGCAAGGTTTCAACACAGGACATCTGTCCTTGCCAGAAGGACATTTAGAGTTGTCCTTCTGGCAAGTTTTGTTAATGTTAAATATTCATGTATGAAATCTGTTCAGATCAAAGCTTGGAATCATTTTGCATTTGTTCATGACCAATTAAAATGCCATATAAATTTCAGATTCTGCCATCTGAGTAACCTGAATGCAGAGAATGAGAGACAATATCCTGTACTCCTAATTTAATTTTCTTATTGTGTTTGTTTGAACTCTGACCGTGGGTCAGGACAATGGATGTCTGTGCAAATGCTTTCTGCTTATGCTAGCCAGGACTGTGTGTGCGTAAGACCAGTTAGTTTCAGTTATGGTTTACAGTCAGTTCAGCTGAGTTTTCTCACATAGGAAACAACACCTTCAGAGTAAGAACTGTATTAAGGGGCTACAGATATCACTTGCCTGTTGCAGAATTTTGGTCTTACACAACCTGGACCCGCCTCAGGCTCCAGGTTTTGACTGGAGTTGGAAGAATCTTATAACCTTCAAAAAAGAAAATGTTGAACTTGGAATGGCCCCACAAGCATTTTTTGCTGTACACACAGAGAAAACAGAAGATGAGGCAATGGCAGAAGAACATTTTGACTCACTTAACCTGCAGGAAGAAGGTAAAACATGTGAGGGAATACAGCAGCAGGTAGAAGTGTGCAGTTCCCCTTTGGTTCAGCTGTTTTCAGGAGCCATCTTTCCATTTCCACTTCTGAATTTCATTTTTGTAAGCTCAAATGTTCTCAGCCTGGGACTTTCAGTGACAGGTAGGTGGCTACTTTTATGTCTGTTAGTCTGGAAAAACAAAGCGGGCAAGTCTGCCAAAATCATCTGGATTTTCCTCTAGTTTTGTATTTGATATCTGACAGAGATTGACTCGTAAGTGTTCCCATGGTCATTACGTGCACACAGTAACATTATGTGCACACTGACAAACAATGACATTTCACACTGATGGAACAAAAAACAAGCTGCCTCCAAGAGGGTGTCCCCTCAGATGGGGACCCCCAGGTGACCCCCAGGTGTCCCCAGGTGACCCCCAAATATAGTTTGAGAGTAGACACCTAAGAAGCACCTACCAGCAGCAGGCAGATAAAGAGTTCTGCTTCTAGGGGCAAGGAAATGCAGCAAAATTCAGATATTAACATACTAACATCCTCAAAATAGAGACAGATGGAGTCAGGATTTTGCTTTGGATCACTAAGAAAGAGGCTGTTTGCAAAGCTAGAGCCATGATCTGATTTCAAGCAGCCTGAACACTCAGAGATACAAAAAACGGGCAGTGGTTTAGGTCCAATTCAGACAACTCACATTATAAAAGAGTAAGCTATTTCCTTCCCAACAGAGTGTGCTTCATACCAAGGCCACGTTGAACCTTGACTACTTGAAACCTCTATCTGAATTTCCATCAGCTGTAAACTGTTTCAGGCCGTGTCTGTTCACTCTACATTCACAATCACTGCAGTCTTTGCCAGTCTATTAATTTAGATAGATTTTCCATCTGATCCCCTTCCAAAGTTAAAGAATTCTCATTCCCTGATAAATTAGGGATAAGCAAACAAATTTAACAAAAAWTTTGGACATACCTACCTATTACAGGAATTCTATCCAGAGCAGCTGGCAGACTTCTAAAAMTCTCCAGATATAGGCTTAAAATTAAGATTCTGATAGTTTAAATTTTATCCATTACATAGGAGATCACAAAGAAAAAGTGTCATACTTAACAAAAAAAATATATATATTTTTAAGGTAGTTGGTCATTGCCCAGCTTACTTTTCCTTGCATTGTATCAAGGTTTGAGCATAGCTAAGATCTCATTTCCAAGCAATCCAGATTCTTCCAGCCCACTTCTGCAGCATCAGTTATCACACTGTTCACTTTACCTGTGTTGCTAAATGGCTGAACTTCTTGTAATCTTGATTTTCCTTAGGATGGAAATTTGAGGGTGATGGAAAGAAAAGAGAAGAAACAATACAACCTTAGAAAAGGAAAAAAAATGGGAAATTTAAAGTTGCTTTTGGAAGACAAAATATGAAATAACACAATCTAATGTTGCATTTTGGCAGTACAAAATTATCTTGACTGCTCTCTTGAAGGTGTTTGGCTTTGTTTGCCTTTCACACACTTCTGCATACATTTGAAGTCTGGGAATACTGAATCCTGGAAGATTAAGTTTTCAAATCATAAGAAGGCCCAATGAAGCTGTTCAGATTCAGAGCTCATTTTTTAGGAGAGAGAGAAAAAAAAAAAAGAAAAAAAAAGAAAATCAGCTATGATCTTCCTGTCCTCAAATTTATCCAGATAATGAATGTGCTCCAGAGCTATGACTTGGGAAATGAARGTCCCCAAGACAGTGATTTAAGGAGTTTTTGTCATTAAGTTAAAACTCAAGCTTAGCACCATAGCAGGCTTCTATAGAAAGCACATTAGCACAACGATGGACCTCCCTGTTTTAGAAGAAACATCCCCCTAAAATACATTAGGATGACAGCCATGAGGACACTCTCATCTCACAGTATGTTTGCCTCTGCCTCTATTTATTAACCTTCATATAAATAACACGCAGGGCTGACAAGCATATTCCACAAACATTACCTAAAATGCATTCCAATTATTCCAGCTACAAACATTTCTTCCCATTTTTCTCACTGCTGTGATCATCCCGTGACTTTAATGGCTTTAAATACTATCAGAGTCTTTTCAACCTATCTGTTTTAGATCATCCAACCTTTCTGCTTCTAATCTCTTCTTTCTTTCATAAAAATAATAATTTTATATAACAGTCTGAGTTGGACTTTTGTACTTTTGGACAACTCCAGACAACCAGTCTAGCCTTCCATGGACCTCAATCACCTGTAGACAGTAATGGGGTATAAAGGCTAGACGTGACAGACATGCAGTGTGACAGGCCAAACTGCATACATGGAGTGGCTGCAAGGCAATATTTGGGAGGAAAAGAAAACACATTTTTTAAGCATCTATCTTTGTAAGGCTAACAAATTCTGTTTCCACCTACCATTTTCTCTTCAGGACCTCAAGCATCTGAAATATGAAGACTCAGTGCAATTGTCCTGTTTCTCTTGCTTTGTTCCTCTTGCTTAGTTTGCTAAGTTTAGTCCTTATTTATCAACATCATCTTCTCAGCACAGTTTTCTCAATTACTGAATGCAGAACTCTTAAGTCCTGTTTCTTTCTTAAATAAATTGTCAGGGGTAAATTGAATTCCAGGTTAAAATGACACTGTACCTCAAGAGTTTTATATCTCTAAGATATAGGAAGCATTTCATGACAGGGTCCAAAATTTGTAACAGAGTAAAGACACCATGTTCTTGAACTGGCTCAGTTGTGACTAGTCCTCTTCTGTTTTCTAAGTTGACTGCTAAATATTTATAGTATATAAATAAATATATAATATTTATAGTGTCTATCGCAAACTTGGGGCCGCTTGCATGCATTTGGACACCATCCCTATCAGAGGGTTTAGAGCCTTGGATTAACCTTCAGGCAAGTAAAGCCATAATTCTTTCTACATAAGAAGCCGCAGTGCAAAAGTAAAAGGCTCTTGGCATGTTCTGGGATATAATTTACATTTTACAATTGAGGAAAGGGAGATGAGGAGGTTTGCTTAAGGTTCCCAGGCAGTCTGCAGCAGCAGGGATTAGGAGTCAGAGATTCCTGCACCCTGCTCACACGCTCCCACTGCACTGGCATGACTGTAGATAATTTCTTGTACTTGTTGTTTGTTAGATCAAGACTAATATGGAATGAATAGACTAACTCTTGGAAAATACAGCTTGTAGGAAGTTATACCTTTTAATTTGCTTCCCAAGTATCTTACAAGTACAATTGCTAATTTTTATAGTTTTTGTGATATTTTCAAGTGTAAATAAAAGCCACCAACTTTTGCTCAGAACTAGCAGAGAAAAGCGCATTTCACCATTTATTTTCCTTAAATAAACAAAGATCATTTGTTCTGTTTTTCTTCTTCATTTTCGTATATGGCTGTAACTGTGAAAAACTAAACTATGAATGGAAACCTCTCCAGGGAGTTCAGCAGCAGTGAGTGTAGCTTCTGCCACTTGGTAGTGAAAGAAGAGAAAACTTCTCACTTATTTGCAAGCCAGATGTCTCCTGCTGCAAAAGTGTTTGATCCTGAGACCTTGAAGAGGATAGGGGCAAACAGCAGATTTTGGAGGCAATATTTCTCCATTTTATGCAAGGCATCTTTTTTATTTAATTTCAAAATTTAAACTGCACATATAAACCTGCCCCCAGAATAGAAGCTGTCATTAGCTGTATGTCCTTAGAGTAGAAGAGAGCTTGCCTACAATGCAAGTACTTGAAATAACATCTTACCTCTTCTGTTTGAAGCACAGACCTGTTTACATAAGTGGGTTGACCAGAGACAGTTTCTGGCCAAACAAATGTTCAAGAAGATTAATGACGAACACATGTTCTATTTTGTTATCTAAAGCAACACCCAAATTCTCAACCGAAAACTAGGCTACGTGATGGCACACAGTGTTAGGGTTATTTCCTGCTTTTGGAGTGTTAACCCATCATGTCTGCTTTTGCTGCTCTTTGAAGAATGCAGTTGGKTTTTTTTGCTGTTGTTTTTTTTCTCGTAAAAGTTTTTCACATTGCTAGAGAGTGAAGTTTCCCTTCTGTGGTAGGATTCAAAATGGAAGTATAGGTAGCCCACATGTGTGCAAAGAGAGCTTCACTTCACTGTTTGGCCCACAAGATAGAAGCACAAAAGCAAGTAACTGGGAAGAGTAGCTTAATCCAGCCATCCTGCAGTTGTCAGGATGCCATTAAAGCTTACAGCATAGCAAAATGTTATTCACTGGCTACTATGGGGCAAACGCTTGTGGCTGCTTCTGTTTGCTCACCACAGTGCATCCAGAAGGTGAAAATGGCCAACAGCCTAGAGACCTTTCTAGACTTCTCATTGATACTGGATAATTAAGTAGTACTAAAGGCAAATCCCTCAGAGCATGCCCAACAATGTATTTACAGAAATTTAAGCCATTATATCTAGAAATCTAAAGAAACTTACAGATGGAGCTAGACATCGATATGGACCCAGACGTCAGACACCTGTTTTTCCTGGTGGAAGAAACAAGTTGAACATGAGTCAGCAATGCACCTTTGAAGCAAAGACCAACACCATATGTTGAAAGAAAAGAAAGAGGGGCATACTGGAGCAAGTCTAGCAAAGGCACACAAAGATGAATACGGGGCTGCAACATCTGACATACAAGGAGAAGCTGTGATTGTTTAACCTCGAGAAGGTGATCTTATTAATCTGCATAAATACTTGCAGGGAGGGTGTGATGAAGATTAAGCCATACTGTTTTTAGTGGTGTCCAATGAAAGGATAAGAAGCAAAGGTCAAAAAATGAAGAAACTCCATTCAAATATCAGGAAAAAAATCAGTAAGGGTGTTCAAACACTGGCACAGGCTGTCCAGAGAGGTCATGGAGTCTCAATGTTTGGCAGTACTCAAAACCCTGTTGGACACAGTGTTGGACACAGTTCCAAACAATCTGCTTTGAGAGCAGGTAGGTTAGTTCACACAGTCTCCAGAAGTCCTTTCCAACCTCAGCTATTATGTGGTTGTCTAACTTCAAGTGAGTCTGTCACCTTGGGGTTTCACTGATGAAACAAGAAAACACATGAGAAAGAAATGTCAGAGGTCCAGGAGTACCTATGTCCCACACAGACTGTGGCCAAGTCTCTTATCAGGCAGGAGAATGATGAAATACCTCATTCTTGCCAAGCCCACACAGTCACTTTTCTCTTTTGGCCTTCCAATATCGAGGACTTCTTGCAGGCTAGCACAGCCCACCTAAAGCTGGATGCAACTTCCCTCCTTAATAAACATGTCAACCTGCTTCTCCTAGAGAAAGACTAGAAGAACAAAGATTTCCTTTAGGTTTTGACTGTTTGGGGGATGTTTAGAGACTGTAGTAAGAGCAGAAAATACAAAATGGAGGAAGCAGCTCCCAAGGATTTAGCAGGACCTAACTTTCTCCTCTGCCCCATGTGGCACTTGTTACATCCAGGATTGCTTTGCACATTTCAGGCTATGGGTCCGAGGTCTTGAGGGCTATGAGGCTGAAGAGTTGAGGTCACTGCTCTTTCATTTCCTGCTGTTTCTCTTCAGCAATGGCAGTGGCCAGTGAAGGCTGAAGTAACATCAATATCTGGACTGCACCATGGCCCTCGGAGAAKCCTGTCATGCATCAGTTAGTGACCACCTCCATATTATAGAGGGAAAACCAAGGCAAARCATTGACCTATGGGCCTCAGCTCATGACTGCAAGAGTTCTAGCAGTGACAGCAGAGCAGAGCACTTAACCTCAGCCACACGGCCTGCAGCCCAGTGTGAAAAAAGGAAACTGTGACTGGGGATAGCAGGGAATAGGGAGTAGTAGCAGCCTGAGCCACTGCAGTTAGGGCTGCCTATGCCAGAACTACAGGGCAGCACGGCAACTGTGTGGGACAGCTAAAAGACTCCCAGTCATTGGATCTGATCTTGGCTGGGTTTTTGCTCCAGCTATATGTCCACTCCTTGACAACTTGTTCTAAATATTTCATTTTGTTACTGGATAGTCATATTTTGTGGGTAGCCACTAGTCAGTTTGAGTTATTCACTCATAGAAAATACTTCCTTTAGAAAGTACTGTAAACAGAATTAATTTTTAAATAGTTTGAGTTGTTTGAAAGCCATGAGCAATGGTTATTAATACTGGCACAGAATAGGTCACATGCTGGTGATCCAAGGCATGGAAACTGAAGCACTTTGGACAGAACTAATGTTTTTACATTCACTTGCACAGTATCCAGACACTGTGGTGGTAGAGGAGTTAATTATACCCAAGACAGCAAAATGGGGAAGTTACAGGTACTAATACATGCAGCAAAATAAATCTTTAGATGAAGACAATCACGTATATTCAAGTAATTCCGTTTCCACTGGTTCGTTACAATGTACAGTTCTATCATGGATCTATCCTGAAGGAGCAGGGGGAAGGAGTTTCTCTCATTGAAGGCAATGGAAACTATGCTTGTTACAGCATGCACAAATATGGACATGAAACTGGGACACAGCACTGCTACAGCTCTTACAGACGCAAAGAAGCACGTATTCCCAAGCAACATACAGTGATGTTTTGACTTGAAACCTCTTGCACCAAAAGTCATGTTTGTGATAAAAAAGAAATGGCTGGTGCCCAACCAGCTGGATCAACATGCCAAGAAAGGTTTCCACTTGGTGCCTGCAGCTTAGTTACCATTAGCACAACTCAACACTGTTCTGCTTCCATTAAAAAAAAAAAATCTCTAAGGCTTGCCACTGTTTGGAAAGAGCCTATAACTTCTTTGCACATGTCTAGACTGGTTTACTGCTTTTCAGTGTGACTTCTTGTCATGCTATCGGAGCCAGTACAAGCTTTTCGACTGCTGCTGACCAAGGCAGACTCTGAATAGTCTTCAAAGGCAAAGAATTTGCCAGCAACTGAGTCAGTTTAAATTGCCTGCCAGGAATTTGCTGCATGCCATACAATGCAGTTTTGAGTCACTGTCTAAAAACAGTCTTGATGAATTAGTATTTAACACGAAAAAAAAAAAAGTCTGAAATTACCACTTGATCCTACCCCAGGTCTTTGCCATCATGCCTTTCTCTCTGAATRCAAAACACCCAGGCTGATCTCAGTATAAATGACTAATGTCCCATTCACTAAGGAGTACAAGCTGGGGCTGCACGTTGGCTCTTAATGAACGTGGCCTTCGGTGGAGAGACACAGTAGTCTGATGCAACAAGACACACACATTGCACAGGCCTGTAAAAGTAGTGAGAGGCTGCCTGGATGCTCACAGTCATGAGGACAGTGCCCACACCTCTCACATTACAACCTGACTGGGAGCAACGTGTCTGTGGAAAACAACTAGCAATTCTTTAAGAAATAAAAGCTTTGCTTTACTCACCACTAGGTGTCACGACATTGTCATTTTTAAGCTRGCTGCTGAGTTTTTTCCAGGCCTAGGGGGAAAGAAAAAAAAGCTCAAGGTGAAGGCAGGAAGCCAGTGTAATAGCCAAATACCTAGATGGGCTCCAATCTAAATTCTTTTCAGTAAAGTCAGATTGGTAGATGGCACATTCAAAGAAAAATGAGAAATCCCTTCCAGGCCTTTTGCAGATTTGCTGCCATTGGAGCCCATATTGAAACACTAAACATGTCAGGAGTGCAGGTAGCTGCAAAGTTCAGCAAACTTAGCACACCCCGGAGTCCTGCTATTYGTTTGTGTTACTCTGACAGAAATCAGCCCAACACTCAGCAGAGTTATAGCTCTATTAAGGCAAAAAAAAAAGACCTTTCCCTACATCCATGAAATGCCTGTTCCTTTTTCAATGCCTCTCAGAACAGCTCATTTTGTTTAAAGTCGGTCTATGTTATTACTGACCAATTCTGTACTTTCTGGTAGCTATGGACACTGGGAAATACACAAACACAATTATATGCATATATTTGAATGAATATTTGYAGCAAAACAACAACAACAACAGGTCAGGACAGGTCCCTACAGCTTTCCACCATGCCTGTTCTTAATGTCTCTGTTCTTTGCCTCTTTTCCCTCTCTCTGGCCATGGACTTGCTTTTCCTATGCTGCCAAGCTCACTGATGAGATGTCACCATCTCCAGCTTCTCCGGCTCTTGCACTGGGACTGAGTGCAACGGGTCTGTGCTGGCTTCATGCTCGCCACTGCAYTGGGACTCCTAGTTCGCTCCTTGAAGGAGACAAACTGTGTTTAGGGTACATACTTGGTTACTAATCCTGAGAGCTGGACATGAGCCAGCAAAGGAGTGAAGGGCTCTCTTGCTCTCTCTCTCTCTCTTTCCACAGTCTCTTTTAGGTTAGCATTAAAAATGTAGCATGAAAGCTGTCACCTTGTCAAGGAAGGGGCAAGCAAATGCTGACCGGGAGTGCTCTTCCCCTCCTGCCTGCATCTTCCCCGTCACGTTGCATGCAGAAGGCTCTGGACGGGCAGGAGCCCACCAGCTCAGGAAGCAGGAGACCTGGTGCAGCGGAACAGACGCTCCTGGGCACTTTTGAGGAACTTGGCAACGAGAGGGGACTGAGCTGGCTGCTGAGTATGGGCAGATGTTTTTTCCTTTGACCCCCTTGTAAAGTACACATTTGCTGGATGATTTACAGCTGGGTCTTTGAGCCAAAGGAAAAATCCAAACACTGCTGGCTGCAGTCTGATTTTGTTTGACCTCTTAAGTAGTTTAACATGGTACCAGCCTTCTTTCCCATTTTAGGTCTTTCTCTCCCAGAGTAGCAGAAAGGATTCAGYAATATAGCTTCTAAATCTCCCAAATGCCAATGTTGGAAGCAGGGGATCTGAATTCTCTGTAAGACGGGAGCCTTTCTCTTCTCCCTGGGGGGCTTATCCCATAGATGAAGCCCTGAAGTGACAGTTGCAAGTGCCTTTTTCTTTTCTGAGTKAAAAGAGTTGTTTTATTGCAGTGTGTTCTGAGTTTCCATCTTCCCATTCTATATGTTAGGAATTTGAAAATCAAGGTTTGCTCAAGAATTTAAGCCTAAACATTTTCCTCCATCCCACAAAGTAAAACCGTGCCACTGGGTGGTCTTGGCACTGAGCTCTCACGTGGGGCCACTAAAGGTGATTTTTTTGCAAGTACAGAACCTGAGAGATTTGATTCATATTACAAATGTGCAATCATTCTATTATATAAATTAAGATTGATTCATAACCCATATTCTGTGTTAGAGCAACACAGAAAGATTCCACTTATCAGGATTTAGGTTGGCACATTTCTTTTAAAGGAATGGCATTCAACCCTTAAATGTTTTTATGTTGTTTTTATTTTTGTCAGAACCCTCTCTTGTAATATTGCTCACCCAATATTCCCTTTGCTATTATAGAAAATTATATATTTTTGTTAATATTTTTCCAGTTCATTTACCTTTGTTATTTGGCAATATCTCATGTCTAGTSTGTTTTACTTTATTTAAAATGGGGAAATGTGATGGTAAAACCACAGAAAAGCTGGGAATTCAGCAGCAGCAGGTGCTGGGTCTAAAAGTATTTTCCACTCATTCTTTAGATAAGGGAGTGAATTTCAAAGTGACTGTGATTCATAGCTATTCCGAGCTTATTTATTGACCATCATACTTAAAAAATAGGGTGACTTGGATAGCAATTATTCTTTATTTATTACCTATTTTAGGGAACTGGAATGTAATACTCCATTACTTTTAAGACATTTCATTTCTGTCCCCTGAAGGTCCCATGCCTCCTAAATCTAAAAATCTAGCATTTCTCCAACGCCATGCGCATTCTTTTCTACACAGTCTGCCCAGTTCTTCTCTTGCATGGACAATATGTTTTCTGGCTCCCAGTAAATTACTGTTGCCTTGCACAATGACAAATTAATCAGTAAAATCTTTACGCTATGGGAAGCAGCATCTACCTGATGAGGTGATCAGTGAGGAAATGCTGGAAGAACCTTCAGGAGATTCACATGCTCTACTGTAACCAAAATGATGTCTGGACATCAAGAGTAGAAAAGAGAAATATCTCAAGTATTCCAAGTAAATTAGATCAACTGCTCAGGAGTTAATCCTGGAGGAGTAACACTCCTACAGTCATGTTATTAATATTGAAAATCRGTTTAACTTGCAATATCAAATCGACTAAAACAGTTCATAAATGGTACCTGAATTACAGAAGAGCAGAATGTTGGCCTAGAATTGCTGGAGAAATAAGATTAAACTCTTGAACTTTAGATGTAGGAGTTGATGAGTTTGTGCAAGGTGTGAATTAAACTCTGTCAGGAAAGCAAAATAGTGTCCTATGTTACTTTAGTTGGTATGGTATAGGGGCCAGGATGCCGGTCTTACATTTTAGAGATGTGCATTCAAGTCCCTTCAAGATGACATGTGCTTCCTGTATTATCTTGAGGAAGACAGAATTAAACTCTGTCAGGAAAGCAAAATAGTGTCCTATGTTACTTTAGTTGGTATGGTATAGGGGCCAGGATGCTGGTCTTACATTTTAGAGATGTGCATTCAAGTCCCTTCAAGATGACATGTGCTTCCTGTATTATCTTGAGGAAGTTACATAAAGCTACAGCTGTCAAGGGAGTTGTGTGTTCCTGGTTTCCAGCTCCCACGAAGGTACCCACCTRCATTCTGGAGGAGGCAGCTAAGAACATGCTTTAAAAAACAACAGTGATACACAGGATAGACATAGAGCTTTTAAAAAAAATGTTCTAGGCCAGTGGCTAGAGAGGGAGCAAAGAGGAGCATAACTATGTAGCGCAGTAATTGGGGCACTTACTCYGGAAAAGGAAGATCTGCCTCCTAAAGACATATTTGCACTTCATATTAAACAGTCACCAAATAAAATGCAACAGAACAGAAAGTGGGACTTARTTTTCTTCTTTTTCAATCATTCTTCTTTCGGAAAAAAGGTATGTGTGATCATTTTGTGCATCTCTGTAGTTTCATTTTAGGCCTGTTCTGAGTAGGCTTTTCAAGCTGTGCTTGTCAGGAAAGCAGGCAGGACTGTGCTTACCCTGAAGATCCAACTGTACCCTACAAGGAAACGCATAGTGGCTCAGCTCTGCCAAAATGCGAGCTGTCCTGAACATATGCAGAAATGCAATTAGCATCTGAGGGATCTTTTCTAAAAGCAAATGAATGTAAGTGCTTAACAAAGTAAGTGCTTATGAATGAAAAGTAAGTGCTTATGAATGAAAAGCAAATGAATGTAAGCAAATGAATGTAAGTAATCCTACTTAACAAAGTAGGATTCCACACTTGGACTTACAACCTAAATTGTATCTAAACCTGATTTTAGAGTTAAAACAAGGGCACTATACACTTGATCACTACTTGTTTCTCCATTTCTTCTCTAAAGCAGGGGAGCTGATACTTATTTCTTTCCTAGTRTTCTTCTAGAGCTACTGTTGAAAAGCACCTAATGAGAAGAAAGGAGTCCTAGTACSCCTGTAAAAGGTGCTCTAGCCCTTGTCTGTTTCACAGCAGTGGTGTGAGGATAACTATCCTAAGGACGGTGAAGTATTTGTACACTGTGACAAAGGGGACAATTATAAAGGTCTCAGACTTGCACGGATCTGCTCTTACCTTATATCACATAACCTGCAAAGCAAGCTTAAAGCATAATTTGCCTGGAGGGCAAACAGAGACTTTCCTTGAAGAGAGATAATTGTGAATTTTTAATGCATCTTTTGGCTGCTTGGGAGGAAGCTTGCTTAAAGGTTACATATGCAGACAGTTTCTAGAAAGGAGTAAAATTGAGGACTGTGAAATGGCACTTTTTACCATTTCATTAGAGAGCATCCAAATCCTTGAAAAGAGACACTTACCAAAAATAAACTGTAAGGAGAGGGAGAATGGGTTATTTCTGATTATGCAGATAGACCTGCATAATCATCTCAAACAGATGGATCTGAACGTACTGAGATTGAGTGACAAGGTCAGAAATGTAAGAGCGTGGCCTTGACAAGCAGTGAGATCAACATCAGTTCCTGAAAGTCTTCAAGGAGCTGRGCTGCCCTTCTGCAAGCTTTCTAGAGTGCTGAATAGGGACATCTCTCCTGATGAGAGATGGCTGCAAATTGGATTTCTTCAGTTTATAAAATTTGCCCCAAAATATTCACTTGCTACTGTGTGCTGTTTTTTGACTGACAATCCAATACATGACCCATGTATATGATTAATTGCAATGCTGCTGAAAAGAAAGTTAGGAGCGCATTGGTAGGATCCTGTTCTCTGCCTGCATGACAACATCAGGAGCAATCTCTTCTGAAGTGAAAGACTGTGGCTGAAGACTAAAACCACCAGAAGGGGGCTCCTTCAGGGAGCTAAAATAAAACTTTTTCAGTAGTTTAGTGACTAACCGAAGGCAGTGAAAATTATGTCTTAGAGGGCCCCCTTAATCCTGGAAACAGTCACTCCCTCATCACTAGGATATATTTGAAAAATGCATG